CCTATAAATTGAATTAAAATAGTTAATGTTGTATATTTTCAGACAAATTAGTTGCTTTTCCGTTATATTTTATTTTTTTCAACATTTTAATATTTGTATAGAGTGTCAAATTATTTCTTCTGGTACACATCTGTTTCCTTACAGAAAATGAAAACTTGAAAGTTATCTTTATTAATGGAAAAACTCTGATTAAGAGATTTTGATTTTATACCAAAATTGTTTCTTTTCAACTGAATTAATTATTCATATGCTGACCGGAGACCAAAGTAATGTTAGTTTAAGACTTGGTACTTGGCGGACTTGAGCATTACCTTAGTGATTGTATTTGTTATTCTTAGAATATGTTCTCTTAAGGTGATTCGAAATTTTTTTAAGATCAAATCGGTTTCTTTCGATGAAATTCTGTAACTATTTACAAATACTTAAAACTTTTTTTGTATATACAACTTTTTGAATCTGAATGAAGGCAATCGATGAAAAAATTCTAAAAAAGCAAACAAATTAAAACATTCTACGAAATAAATATTCGTAGCGAAACAGTTATGATATTTAAGAATATACCTGAAATAATGTATGCTCTGGAAGGGCATCTGAGGTCTTTCTCCACCGGTAAAGCTTCATTAATGTGGTATCAATAACAAGCTAACATGTAAATAGACCCGATAACCTTCATTTCCTCGTATTTTTCGCAATATTGAACAATAAAAAGTTTTATATGTATTCGTGTTTGAACACTCCTTGTATATTTTCGACAGAAATAATTCACCAATAATTGTTGAATTTTTGAAAAACTCCGGTATAATTATTATCTTTTTTCTCTCAAAAATAAAATCTTACTTCCTTTCAGAGTGTATTTTTAAGCTATTTGCTACCTACACGATCGAAGTAAATGTAATTCGAGATCTGTATAAATCAACAATTCGAGATCTGTATTAACCAACAATCCGAAATCAAATCCTGCTATCGCTGATCTATTTTCCTGTTTTAATAACCAAAGAAGATATTTGCGATTTTCAGACACAAGGGGTAATCAAAGATGATTTTTAGTTTTCTTAACTCGTCTTTTCGTCTTTATTTCAAACATCATGTAAACTTCTGCGCAAGAGTTATTTAAAGCCATTTATCCCGTACCAATGCTGCTCGCTTTACATAATTTTCTTCAATTCTTCAAACTAATTCAGTATTGAATCTACACCCACTTATTATTCTCCATTTGTTATACTGTATAATTAATGGTAATAGAACATTTCGGACCATAGACATTTCGGACCAGACATTTCGGACCAGATTTTGGGACACTTCGGACCATATTTAGGGAAAATTCAAAGTTTCTTGTGAACGAACTTATTTAAACAGATTTTGCGACATTCAGTATTTTATACTTTGAAAGGATCTGAATTTTAATTTTTAAAGTTTTTTTATAAAGGTGCAGAAAAGCTACCTCGGAAACAATCATTGTTTTAATGCTCTTTCATTAAAGCAATATCTTGGGATTGAAATATTAAGACTTGTGCAAATCTTTTAAGTAATTATTTACAAGTATTTTATTGTAATATTACACAGTTTGCATAAAGTATTGAAAATGAAAGAAAAAAAAGAAATTTGTATAATTCTGTCATTTTGATCTCTATCAGACTTGGACAATATTAGAATTATAAATCAAGTATCAAGTACTCTAGGATATCGTATCATTTAATTGATAAGTGTTTTTACTCAAACACGAATAGAAGAGTCTCTGCTGATCATTGAAAAATATATCTGCTGTTCTCTGGTATCATCCGGTTTAACATTATCGTCCTCCTGCTATCAAAGTATTGTTTTACTGTCAAATGGAAACAAATTGAAAGGACAAATTACGAATATTTCTTATGAAAGCTGAAATCTAGACTCATTTAAACTAATTGTGGTAGATCCATTTCCGACAATAATAGGGAAAAGAACGGAAATAGCTCAGTTCGTTTCGTATGATTTTACAAAGATTGCGATATAGAAATGAAATCGACGACAAATTAAACGGTGTAGTGTAATATGCAAGACGAGATATTTCCGGGGCTCTTTAGATTAAGATGAAATTACAGTAGTTTGCAACTTTTATATAAATAAGCGAAAAGTATATGAGAATATATAAATATTATACAAAAAGTCATATATTTATAGCATAATTTCTGAAATATTATATAGTACGAAATGGATAATTTGATGAAGGCTCAAAAGTTTCATGTTGGTCGTAGACACATATGACGGGTATCCTTGAATCACGAACTAAAAAACGAATGACGTCACGCCATGATACATATTTTCGCAGTTTTTACTGAATCGCAAAAACTGGACATTAGTTGTATTCCTATTTAGCTATATTCATCTAACAATAGGATAATCTAAAACATATTAAAGGAACTCCATTGAGATTCATAAGCCTAAAACCATAAAATCTTAATTTCTCACATAGATCAACTGGGGCACCTAAAACAGAAATATATACAAAGGATAATTAAGAAATATACATAGAAATACACTGAAAATCGTATGTTTGTGCTATTCTCAGTCCGATTTGAGTGAAAAGCATTTAAACGCTTTTCAATTCTAGGTCATTTTTGACAATTAAAACAATTTATCTGGAAAAAACGAACCGGGCTAATGATTTTAAGTTTTGCACATAAATTGTTGTTATAGACCTACATCAGATGGAGTAATAATCTCAAAAAAAATATTTCCAGTCCCGCCATGTCAAAAAAACCTCAGTGGAGTCCCTTTAACCAAGCAAAAATTGATAGAGCACAGTTAAAATGATAATACAGTTAAAATTGTATACCACTTAAACTTTTTATTCTCAGACATAATTCCGGGCATCACGATCATAATCATATAGAAACAGCAAAATTTCTTCCTATAGTTAAAGTAACATTTCCCGTCTTTAAAAAGGATCACTTATTAAAATAATTGATGTATAGGAATGGAACGGTTATTAATTCACAGTTCAGATGTACTGTAAAATGTATGACTTAATACGCCATTTTCAAACTATCATTTTGTTAAAATCCTGTTGAGCCCTAAACATGCTACAAAGTTATAATGTATAGTATTATTTTCATTTCTCAAAAAAAGAAATTTACAGTTTCTGCAAAAGTACTCATTTTCCATATATCTCCACCATCTTAAGCTGCTTCTTTGGTAACCAATCAATTATAATGATGTAGTATGTTTCAAGGAAGTGAAAACGCTACTTTTTGTTCACGGTTTGCTACCTTTATGAAAAATTATTTTAGATTCAGCACTTTCTGTACTTAATTATGGTGATAAGTATTTGATTTTCTTTTCCATTTTTTAAAACTAAACTAAACATGTTTGTCCCTTCTAAAGAAAAAAAAACATTTTGGAGACATAATGTGCTTTTTCCAGTATTTCTCCTTCTATCACCTTTCATGTCCCTCGATCATTCAGCTATGTCCGTTTTTACAACCTTCTAGTTGTACAACATATAATGCTAAAAACTAATGAAATATGTATGATTCTTGATCACATTATGCCAATCCAAATGTAAATGGTCAAAGAAAACAAGAAAAAGTAAAACCAACTTGACATTTTGCTATAATTGTGTTCAATTTTACAAGAAATTTCCATAAATATCGCTCAAAATGTATCGGTAACGCTAAATTCTTAAAACGAGTGTGACAGTATTGTTATAATTTAGGTATAGTAGTTAAACACATTTTTCTTTATCAATTATAGGTCACTCACCATTATGATATCCAGTCTTAAAAATTTATTACTAAGTCAACACACATTGACAACAAAAAATGAGCATAATGTAACCTGAATGAAAAAAAATCTCCAAGATATATAAAGGATTATGGGAAAATCAGTAGAAGGTATGTATCTCAAGATATACTTCTAAAAGGAGGGGCAGCTATATCTTATGATTTAATTGTTTCTATTTAAAAACGATAAAAATGTGCTGTATCCATAATCTAATGGTCGATTCTGGAAAAGTTTGTAACATGGAATGTTTCTGTTATTTAATGCACATGGAAACTGTACCTATAACAAAATAAAATGTTCCTGTACAAAATATTATGGTGCTATCTTAAGTAAATACATTTATTACATGCTTTTCGGTGGTTTATAGAAATATATCAATGAAATAAAAACTGATAATTTCACTGTTTTAAATAGTGAAATACCAATTTGATAATTTCACTGTTTTGAATATTTGAGCCCGTTACGTTGTTTCAGTGAAACAAAAGCGTTCACAGTACTGGAAACCAACTTAATGGCGTGACGTCGTAAATGACGTCACGTTGTATTATTATTTGGCGCCCTTTTCATTTAGTACTAGGTTAAAATGTCTTTTATAACATTTCTTTGCATATAATAAAAAGAAAATCTGTTTAGTTTAATGTAAGATCGAATGATATTTCACCTCGTGAACACCAAAAGTTCATAGTTTCAAAGTTCATATTTCACTCGTGGCTGCGCCACTCGTGAAATATACCTTTTGGTGCTCACTCGGTGAAATATATTCCGATCTTACACTGAACTAAACAAATATCCTCTATTTCTAACCGTACGTTTAGCAATAATTTCGTGCATGTGCCATTCGCTCAAAGTATACCAGCATACATTATTTCTTTCATACAGGCAGTCTGGGATTATTCATTTTCAAAATTTAAACAAAATTTCTGAAACAGCTGAAAAATGTTTTACACACTAAGAATAGAGTGTACAGTAGTGGAATTTTGATATATGTTTTTATATTTTTACATAAAGCTGCTGTACGTATGTTCATGAACTTGGTAAATATTCAATTCAAATTAAGTTTTGTTTCAAATGATAATGCTAAACATAAATTTTGTAATGAACAAGATTATATATGAAGTCACTCCCGAAATAGAGACAGAATTGTATTTGTTTGTATATTTGCACTGTAGGAAATTATTTAGTGGTGTTAAATGTTCGACGTAGGAAACTATTTAGTGGTGTTCATTCATTCCCAGGGGCAGATAATTCAATACTCTAATGGCGTCTACAGTTGATATGGACTTTCCAATTGATGGAATTCTGCCGAAAAAAGAAACCGGTGCTGCATCATTCGTCAATAAGTATCCAGATTTTGACGGTAGAAATGTTTTGATAGCAATTTTAGACACCGGTGTCGATCCAGGAGCTTCTGGGTTACAGGTATCCATAAAATATCACAATGATTTTGGGAAATAAATTTGACATGCATGACATTTCATAATATATCTGTATCCGGTGCATTTTTTAATGTTATATTTTGTCGTAATATTCAATTTAAACCCATCTTTTTTTTTAATAAATATGTCTTAACATTATCATATAATTTTGAGTATTTATTTATTCATTTGTTGAATGCTGTGTAAATTTTGGATTATTCATCCATGTCATCCTGCACACAGACACTTGGAGTATGGACCAGCCCTTCTCCGCCCCTGAATATTGAAAACTAAAAGTATGATTTATTACAAGAATTAGTTTTAAATTTTTGCTTATATAAGTATGAGACGGCTATATTAGTATGAGACGGCTAAGTGTCTAGCACGTGAACAAGTAAGTCCAATAGATTAGACGTTACGGACTTGTTATAGTTTTTTAACCAATCAGATTTCTTGCACTTTATGGCGGCCATTTGTTTATCGGCTGTATAAGGAATTTAATTACATGAGAGGATTTAATCATGATTTTTTGGATGTGACAGTTTAATTATTTTGTCCAATTTCCAAAGGTATTTATTTTTCAGTTTTGTTCATAAATAGGTCAAAATTAATGTAAATACACGCTGTCTTAATTGTTTTTTCATTCCGCCTGATTTTCTGGCGGAACGGGCTATGGGTTTTTGAGCAATTTCGATATGACGTTGCCTTGCCCTGAAGCAAAAATATCTCAAAGCGACGTCATATTTATAGGACTAGTGAACAAGTTTGAATAGAATTTCATAATATTTTAAAAAAGTCAATTTTTTACCAACGTTTCAATGATATTTTAGGGACTTTTTTAAACATTGTCAAAATAGCAGAAAACTAGTTTTATGTTCAAGACACGTGACCAGGTCATAATAATATGCAAACATATTTTGATGTACGGTTTGCACGATAAAAATAGACATGGTGTATACAAGTGCATGGGTGAAAGTTTTCAGGACTATTCCTGAAGTTCAGGATTTTCAGTCTGCTGAAAGCCTTCTATTTCTTATGTAAAACTATAGAAAAACTGCTAAATTCAGGATTTTCAGGATTTTTAAAATTTCCAACTTTCACCCATGCAAGTGTGGATCAAGAAGGGGAGCCACGCACATAACCCCAAGTGTCTGTGATCTTGCAGAGAGCTTTGACAATTCTTTGTCTCCAGCAGGGGTTGATAAAATGGAAGAAAATAAATAATTAACTTTCAAAGTAAATGATGAGTTGGTCAGTCATTTTGGCCCCCTTTTCCTGAAGGTTGGGCGTCTGTGGTTCCCTTATTACCCACCACCTATGCTCCATTGCTATTGATACAGTGGGAGAACTTACTGTAAGATCAGCGTAAACTATATATGGCCATAGGACAATTTCCACACAGATAATAATGCCCTCTGTTAGAACATGTCATTAGTTACTTATTGTTTGACACATACTTACTTGCAATTGGGTCAACATGAAGTCCTGATAAGATGTTGATTTAGAAATTTAGGGTTTTTTTCTGGCCCATTTAAGATCGATATTGTGTTGTGATCCAAAGGCCAAAAAGAATGGTACTCAGGGTTGTCATTAAGAGGCGGCAGGAGGCCAAAGTGCCTGTCTCAAATGCATTATGGGCCGTCTCAAAATTAAGAAAACACTTTTTGTTATGCATGATAAAGACAGAAATGACCGTCTCAATTTCAAAACAAACCTTCTGCAAAAAATGTTAATGACAACCCTGGACTACTTGTCTCAATTTCAAGAAGAAATTCCCCAACAAAAAACAAAATATGTTAATGTCACAGGGTGAGAAAAAATGGGCAGCCAGACAGGGACTCGAACCTAGGACTATCATCTAATCAATACCCTACCGCGGCTCTACCGACTGAGCCATCAGGCCGCTAACACATCTTCTCCCCTAAATAGTGAACAATTTTGAACCTTGACATACTTTTCCTGCTATATTGAAATTTGTCGTGGAATTTCACACAGTAACAGAGCAATGTGAATTAAACTCCGAGTTATATTCAATCACGGCCCCACGTTAGGTGCTAAATGTCACAGGGTGAGAAAAATGTGCAGCCTGACAAGGAGTCGAAGCAGGGACCCTTGTAATACCGTTCTTCGGCTCTACCGACTGAGTTATCCGGCTGCTTACACATCTTTTCCCCTAATTAGTGAACAGTTCTGAACCTTGACATTAGTAAATAAAATTATTTTCATTTTTGTTACATTTAGCTGCACTCTGCCATCTTGCATCCAAATTGTAATATTTGGAAATATAAAAGGAGTTTAATTAAACAATTGTTTGATTTTTTTTCTTGTCTTTTTTATATATACAATATGTTGCCAGTTTTTTCCCAATTTGTCTAAAACATTGTAAAACTTCCAAATTCTTTTGGTAGGATCATGTTCCCAAATTGCTTGAATTTATATATTTCATTTGCCAAAGTTATTCAAGTTTGGAAATCTGAAGTGTCTAATATTAATTAGCCTTAAATCTTAATAAATTAAATACAGCTACGTGTATTTTGATTAGCAGTCTGTTATATAATATATGCAAAATTATAAAAATGCTATTTGTTATTTAATGAGTTGATTACTAGTATTTGTTAACATATCCATGTATGTTTATATTTTATATTTATGTACTATATCTTAGAAGTGAATTGCCTCTGTGGTCAAGGGGTTAGAGGTGATGACTTCTAATTCAGTTACCTCTCTGTCATGGGTTTGATCCCCGGGAGATGCTTTGGTAGTTTAGCACGGAGGAAGGTAGTCTTGTACTGGTGTAACTCTCCAGGAACAATGTTTAGGAAACTACCCGTCTATATGACTGAAATACTGTTGGGGAAAAGGCATAAAATAAAACAAACAAACAAACAAATGTGAATTGATTTAATTGAAACATTTTCAGACAACAACAACAGGTGAACCTAAAATCATTGATCTGATAGATACTAGTGGGTCTGGCGATGTTGACACTTCAACTGTGATAGAAGTTAAAGATGGCAGTGTCAAAGGTCTCACTGGACGTACACTAGCTGTGAGTTGTTATAGATTTTATAATATTTATATAGTAATATTGATAAAGCTATGTTGATGGCTAATAAAAACATGTTGTAGTTCATTATACAACTTTAAAATAGGGGATAATGGCTTAGGTCTAAATATTTTGGACGATAATGGAAAGATTTCTTAGTGTTTTTTGTCATATTTTTGTATCTTTTTCTTGTACATGTAGGCTGCAAATCATATACATTTTACTTGATGTATTGGGGTGTAATTTTATAAAAAATTTAATATTGTGTAATATTTGTTTCTATGAAGAAGTATCAGTCCTTTTATTGTTGAAAGAGACTCAACCTATACCTAAAGGCTAAGATTATTTTATCATGTCATGAATTATATCTTTTTATGTTATCAGATACCAGAAGAATGGGTCATGAGAAGGGAAAGGGAAATTTGGGGTGAAAAAATCTTTGATTTACCCCAAACTTTGGAGATGAAAGATAAAGAGAGGCTGAAAAAATTTTGGGATACAGAAAATAAGAGGCTTAGCGTGCCAGTAAAGCACTGGAAAACTTTGACACTGCTCACCCAAATCCCACTTCTCAGGTACATGTCTTTTTAGCTCACCTGTCACAAAGTGACAGGGTGAGCTTTTGTGATCGCTTTTTCGTCCGGCGTCCGGCCGTCCGTAAACTTTTATTTTAAATGTCATCTCCTCATAAACCACTAAGCCAATTTCATCCAAACTTCACAGGAATGTTCCTTTAAAAATTGTTCAAAGATTTTAATTCCATGCAGATCTCTGGTTGCCATGGCAACCAAAAGAAAAAACTTTAGATATCTTCTTCTAAAAAACCCAAAGAGCTAGAGCTTAGATATTTGGCATGAAACATCTTCTAGTGAGTGTCTACCAAGTTTGTTCAAATAAAAGCCCTTGGGTCAAAATTGGCCCCGCCCCAAGGGGGAATTGATTTTCCCTATATGCATATAGTAAAAACTTAAAAAATCTTCTTTTAAAGAACCCAAAGAGCTAGAGCTAAGATATTTACTATGAAACATCTTTTAATGGGTGTCTACCAAGTTTGTTCAAATAAAAGCCCTGGGGTCAAAATTGGCCCCGCCCCAGGTGGGCATTGATTTTCCCTATATGCATATAATGAAAACTTAAAAATCTTCTTTTAAAGAACCCAAAGAGCTAGAGCTAAGATATTTAGCATGAAACATGTTCTAATGGATATCTACCAAGTTTGTTCAAATAAGAGCCCTAGGGTCAAAATTGGCCCCGCCCCAGGGGTTCATTGATTTTCCTTATATGTGTATAGCAAATACATAAAAAATCTTCTTTGAAAAAAACCAAATAGCTAGAGTTTAGATCATCTTCTAGTGAGTGTCTACAAAGTTTGTTCAAATAAAAGCCCTGGGGTCAAAATATGCCCCGTCCCGGGGGTCATTTATTTTCCTTATATGTGTATAGCAAAAACTTAAAAAATCTTCTTTGAAAAAACTCAAATAGCTAGAGTTTAGATATTAAGCATGAAGCATATTCTAGTGAGTGTCTACAAAGTTTGTTCAAATAAAAGCCCTGGGGTCAAAATTGGCCCCGACCTGGGGGACATTGATTTTCCTTATATGTGTATAGCAAAAACTTAAAAATCTTCTTTGAAAAAACCCGAATAGCTGAAGTTTAGATATTAAGCATGAAACATTTTCTAGTAAGTGTCTACAAAGATTGTTCAAATAAAAGCCCTGGGGTCAAAACTGGCCTGCCCCAGGGGTGTCATTGTTTTTAACTATATGTGTAAAGAAAAAACTTAAAAAATCTTCTTTTAAAAAACCCAACAAGCTAGACCTTAGATGTTTAACATGAAACATCTTCTAATGGGTGTCTACCAAGTTTGTTCAAATAAAAACCCTGTGTTTTAAACTGGTCCCGCTCCGGGGCCTGTATACAGGTGAGCGACTTCAGGGCCATCATGGCCCTCTTGTTTAAGAATGTTTTTTGAAAATGTCCTTTAAAAAAAAATATCCTATATTTTTTGCTTTGTATAGTGTATACATGTAGTCTCTCTAAAGTTGAAAGAGAATAAGAAGAGTAATACCTAAAAGGTTTGTTGTCATTTGTTTTGTGATGTGTGTATCAAGAAAAGTTAAGAAAAAATCAGTACTGTATCAAAAATTTTTGTGATGCTCCAAATTTGTATGTTTCAAATTTTATCACATGACTATCAGGCCAATACTGCTTTTTTAATTCATTTGATATGATTGAATTTATACAGTCATGTATATTACAATACAGGGAAATTTTCATAGTCATTTTAATTCATCTGTAAAATTATTTTTAGGAGCACATTAAATGCAGAAGAAAAGGAGTCACACAACATTTTGGTGTCATATCAGATTATTATTATTTAGGTTATAGCTCAAAGTATTTAAAAGGAGAAATGACTGTTTGGTACAGATCTATGTGATGTCTATTAGATTTTTCTTTACTTGTCATAAACATGTAGTTTTGCAAGCAATTGTTGTAATTAATTGTGAAAGATGTTGGAATAAATGATTTGGTTTTAAGTCTCAGAGACACTATATATTGGATAAAGATCACTGATGCCCCATTTGTGTTATTGACATTACAGGCACAAATGGGCATCTGATATTAACAATAAACTTTTGCTAAGCTAGTTGGATAGATTCTGTCATGAAAGAATTCATGGTCATGGATGGTTATCAAAAACCCTCACAGCATAAATGAGAGGCTAGTGTGTCAAAATTTGCAAACAAAACCAATCAACGAAATAGACCTCTCTAGTCTAATGAAAGTGTATTTGTTTGGCATATAGTTAGGTCACTGATAGTTGCTAATAGTGAATTTTTCATTGCTATAATGTATTTTTTACTTCACAGGAAGAGAAACAAGAGAAGGATGAGTTACAAGCACAGTTAGATATACTTACAGATGCTGATAAGAAGTATAATGATTGTGGCCCAGTCTATGATTGTGTCGTATTTTACGATGGAGATACATGGAGGTAAATATTTTGTGAAGGTTTTAGGCTAGTGGTATTCCTGTGGCAGATTGTTTTTATTCACTTGATTTGACTTTTTTTTTTGTGACTCCGTAAAAAAAGGTATTGCACAGCAGTTCATATATTTTGATGTGGCGTCATTTGCGTTGTACAAACATAGCACTAAATGTTAACATTACAATTACACTACTGTATAGATGCGTCAGTAACAAAAAAGGATTATTTTCACTGTAACAGTTCTTAAGTTGGTTATGTGATAAATTGAATTTCTTAACAAATTTATACAATTGTTGAATAAAATATATGTAATATTATGGTCACCAGAGGCTTGCATATTGTAATTTTATACAACTTGTTCGATAAATTAGGCAAGCATTATATAATTTTATACAACTCGTTCAAAAATTCAGTATTGAATCTGCATTCATTTAATATCTTCTCTATTAATTATACATATATGAATAAATACAATTATGTGTGTTTTGCAGGGCATGTGTAGATACGAGCGAGGAAGGCAATTTATCACAGTGTAAACTGTTAGCTAGTTATAGAGAGGAACATCAATATGGAACTCTTAGTACAGACGGTATGTTGACATGCTTAATATTGTTTAATGACATGCTTAAAGCAGCATGCCTCAAGATTCATGCTAATTTTCATTAAAAAAAAGAAAATGTACCGTATAAGTACTTATTTCTGCGGGCTTAATATTCTGCGATTTTTGTTAAAATAAGGGGTTTTAAATTTCTGCGTATTTTATTTCTGCGGTATCATCATTCTCGCATTGATGCTTTTTATTTCTGTGTTTTAATTAAGATATTTTTAAAAAATTAACCGACACAATCAGACAACATTTCAAGATTTGTTGATGTTACATGTACTTTTCTTCCGATTAACATGCAGACGACTGAAAATGTGTTTCGTCGTAATCATCATGTATCGGTATATACATGTAAATAAACGTGCAATGACAGCAATTTTAATACTGTATGTGTATAAATTTGAAGTGTGAATAATGAACAATGGCGAAATCGCATTTAGACAAAAGATAGTGTACAAATACAAAAGGGTATGTTTATTGCACCTGTCAAACTACAATAGTTTGATTTTACAAAAACATATCAAGCTAAGGGTGAGCGAAAAAATCGTACAAACATAAAATTTATTTAAACAAAGGGAACAAGCAAAGTAACATTTTTTCTAATATTTTATTCACGACAGATACATTAAGAAAAATTACCATCTACAAAAGCTGATAACGGTACATGGTAATGTAATTATACAATACCGGTAGTTGACTTATTCCGACATATACATACGGAAAGGCTTAATTTTCTGCGGTTTTTAAATCTGCGGTGTCGTTATGAACCGCAGAAATAGCAGAAATAAAGTTCCCGCAGAAAATAGTACTTATACGGTATTTAAAAGTATAATATTGTGAAGTAAACAAAGAAAGTAATGTACACATTGGAAACAACACTTATAATTCCCGTACATTACCAGAAAGAGGTCAAAATATGCAACAATAACCTTTACTGCAATAGTAACGCAGAAGAAGTATGGTGATAAATACTGCAAAAGCAAGTCATGAATTTCACACAACATGCAAATTATTACTTAAATCTTTTTACTTCTCTTAAAAGTCTTAGGGCATTTTCTCAAGTTTGATTGACTTGAAATATGTTGGCTCATGTGGAGGCATTCAGCTTTAATATTGTTTAAGGACATTATCTTTTACTCTAGATTTTTCTTAAACTACCTTTGATCTAATGTTAACTTGTTAATGGTTTATTTTAGTCATGATTGCATTGCTTTAATGTTATAGCCCTTTATGCTAGTTTGCAAGAGAGAAAAAATATTTTAAAGTCTAAGATTGAAAAAGAAGAATAATTGTTTATTGATTTTAGAAATAGATCAGATAGTTATTTATCCATTTATTTATTTCTTAAAATATTGGAACAATAGACTAACTTCGGAATTACAAATATTTGGGTTTTCCTAGCTATTCCAGAGGTACAAACAAACTTTTACAAGTACTTCTTCGAAGATAGTGCTCTGTGAAGCCATAATGGTAAAAGTTTGTTCATGCAGGGGGATTTTCATGGGAAAAACCCACTTTTGCCAAGTCCCGGATAACATCTATTGAATAAAGAAAACAACAGGCAATATGCTTCTAGACTTGAGCTTGTACTGTCAGTGAATTCTGGAAGCTGTAGGAAAAATTGACTTGATTCCAGCTTGAAGCACATTTTACTGAAGCCTCACAATTATTATAGTTTTCTCAGCTGCTTTCAAATGAGAAAAATATATTATTTAAGTGATAGTTGAAGATATACATTTTTTGTTCTTCGCGGAAAATGTTTGAAAATATTTTATTATGATACTGCTCTCACAGACAGTGCATCTTTGACCTCAGACAAGTCATTAACCCTTTCACTGCCATAAGGCTGGCATATGCCGTCCCTATTATTTTAGGCGTATTTGCCGTTTCTATAAAAATAATAATAATAATTATGATAATGATAATAATAAATATATAAATTATTATACCCTCAACAATAATTATTATAATACTAATAAATAATAATCATATTTATATTATAATATAGTAATTTCTTAGAAAACCCTCTTGCAAATAGGTGATCAATAAATCAATAACCCTCTGGCAGCAAAAGGGTTAAAGCTGTTGTAAATGGTAATGCACAAGCAATAAAAAGCACACAAATTAAATACACAATGTAACTTAACATGTAGACTGGATATTTTGAATATCCTACCAATAGTTGTAAACTGGTACTTTTGTACTATTCATATAATAATTATACTTTTGTGTTTTTACAGATATGATGAACTACAGTATAAATATTTATAATGATGGAAATATACTGGAAATAGTTACAAATGCAGGTATGTATCGCACGCACAAATAGAGGATATTAAATGAGTGTAAGTTCACAATAATGAATTTATTGAACAAATTATAATATAAAGATAATAATATTATTTTATTTAACAAGTTCAATAAATTCAATAATGAACCTACATGAAAATAATATTCTTCTTATCACATACCCAAAATTAAGACTGTTTAAAATGAAAAAGAATAATGCCTATAGAAACACTCCTGTAACTGATCCTGGAACCAACCAATGTTAGATATTAAATGAGTGTAAAGTTTCTTGCTCATGTAAACATGGCTTGCATTTTTGTTATGAAAAAAAAAATTCAGAATTTAAGAGCTTTATTAACTTAAAAATGAAAAAAGGAATCAATTCAATACATCTTTACACAGAGAAAAATATTAAACTAAGAAAATTTTCAGGTTCCCATGGTACACATGTGGCTTGTATAGCAGCTGGCAACTTTCCAGAGACCCCAGAAAGAAACGGACTGGCCCCAGGGGCACAGGTCATTGGTATTAAGATAGGCGATTCGCGTATAGGCTCCATGGAAACAGGCAGTGCTCTTGTTAGGGCCGTATGTAACCTTTATATTTTGTACATTGTAGCAATATTACATTATTATAGTGACTTAAAACCAAATCAAACAAACATTATTATATAATATAATTTGTGTCAATGTGGTAACAAAAAGAAGTTGTTGTCAGCCCGCTTAGTTCAATAAGGAAAGCATAGGATTTGTTATTAGGTGGCTGGTTTGACCCTTGGAAAAGGCAAAGATATTGAATCTAATGGCCATTTGTCTCTTATTGCAGATTCAAAAATCATGTGGCATTTTGTAGTTGGTAATTTTCAGAGAAATTGGTAGTTACTGGTTAGTTATCCATGAATGATGGTTAAGTGAGCCTACCAATGAGATAAGACTAAAAATATGTTAAAAACAGTATTAAAGCAGAAAAAACAAATATTTATTGGGTGTTAATAAGTGTTTTTCAATAAATTAGATATCACATGCCATCGTGCAAAAACTATAATGTAGCCCATTACTCAAACAATTTGAACAGTATCTATTTGAAACTTGGAATATTTGCTTATGATGACATGAGGCAGTGTCAAGACAAGGGGCACAATTCTGAAAGCTATATTTTTGGAGTTATGCCCCTTTTTGTCTTAGTGTTTTTGTCAAAAATGGATATTTAAACAGACAAGCATTAACACTGCATGTGGTGCTCTTGTTAGAAATATGAATTTTGTTTTGTTATTTTAGATGATCAAAGTAAAGGAGTACAAATGTGACTTAGTCAATTACAGTTATGGTGAGGCTTCACATTGGCCAAACTCAGGGTCAGTTTTCATCTCAACTTAAACATTTGATCCTAATGAGCATAATTTTACTGTTTTAAATATATGCAGTGATCAAGTAGTATCATAGATAATATTTAACTTAAACACTGTCCTTAAGGAAATGCCAATGATTTAAAAACATTATCGTTTTTGATTGATTATATCTGTTAAAGAAATCAATGTTGCATTTAACTTATCAAGCATGATATGTTTACAGGACTTTGCTGTAGATTGATTCTTTGTACATGTACCTTATTATTTTGTAAACTCTTTCAAGGCCTAATCTGACGGAGAACATTCATCATTTTTTATTTGGAAAATTTCAAAATATGCACTGACTGAATAGTACACAGTGCAGACTATGATCTTGACCATGGGTGTGCTGGCAGATCTTGGTCTGCACTGGTTGCATTTTTGTGTTAAGTTGCAAGCAGACATAAGGGTTAAATTAAAAAGCAATTTCCCATAGCTTTGACTTTGATTATTTTCATGATTAAATGTTTGCATTGTTCATAGGAGGGTGAGCGATATACTCAGTGAAATGGTCAATAAGCATAATGTGATATTTGTGTCCAGTGCTGGTAACAATGGTCCAGCCCTCTCAACAATGGGTACTCCTGGGGGAACCTGCTCTGCTCTTATTGGGGTCGGAGCACATGTTACCCCGACAATGATGGCTGCGGAATACTCTCTACGTGAAAAACTGCCACCTATGCACTACACATGGTCTTCCAGGGGTCCAACGTAAGTTCCGACTGACATCTGTCAGTGTTATCATGTTTATATTTAAATGCTGATGTATATGTTAAAAGAATATTAAAATGTTTAATGGCTGTAATACAGTCTTATCTATGATAGTGCTTTGGTTATACTATATACTAAATTAAGTGCATTTTAGTATTTCCATCTCAGTTTAAGACAATGAAATGGATATTGATATTCCTACTCCTAGAGGACATATGCAAGTGTTATTGGTTAAGGAAAATTGGATTGGTAAGGAAAATTGGTAGTTTCTTTCCAAGCATTTTATTATGCATGAGATAGTAGTGAGGGGCTGATAGTTTTAAGTAAGGAGCCTTTCAATTCAAGGAGGCCCACTCATTCATATTTTAGGGAGTCTGTAACAAATGTTAGGTTATGAGTGCTTGAACTACTAGTGTATGCATTACAGTAATGCATTTATAGTTATACTAATTTATTGCAAGCTGTTAACTTATTGCTTGTATATTACAGGTCAGATGGTGCTTTAGGAGTTGATATAAGTGCCCCTGGAGGTGCTATAGCCTCTGTACCTAACTGGACGCTCAAGGGTTGCCAGCTCATGAATGGAACAAGTATGAGTTCTCCCAATGCATGTGGTTCTATAGGTAATGATTACATGATACTTTGTTTAGCATTTTAAATGTGTTCTATGAAATAACTTGCTTTTGTTAATCATTAGTTTGTAATGTGAATGGAATTGTTTAAAATGTTAATAAAATTGTTGTTGTTTTATATATTTTCATCAGCATTGGTCTTGTCTGGGTTAAAGGCGAACAATATAGGTTATAATCCATACAGTGTGAAAAGAGCACTTCAGAATACTGCCAAACAAGTAGATGGTGTAGAAGTGTTTGCCATGGGATACGGTCTTGTACAGGTACATTATAAGTTCATGTATATTGTGTGAAATATAGGATTTTATTAGTAAGATATAATTGATATCAGTTCTGTTTTAATGTCATCAAATTTAAGCAACTGAAGTTTGCTACTTTTCAACATACAGCATTATTTAATAAGAAGATATTTTTGAGCCTTATTGATTTTAGTCCATTTATAATGACAATACTTACTCCGGAATCAAGAATACTTTGGGTTTTCCCAGCTAATTGAAGGATACAAACAAACTTATAGTTACAGCTTAGAAAACCCACAGGATAACAGCTATTAAATAATGTCATAATTACACTTTAGTACTATTTGCAGTCTGAATTAAAATATACATTTAGATATTGTTGTTATTTGTACTGTGCCTTAAACAGTTTTCTGTAATGAAAGTATGTCTGTTAAATTAGAAAGAATTGAACTTAAATAAATCTGCAAAAGATAACCAAATTTATTTTAGACTCCAAAGACAATTGGAATCATAAATTTTTTTTTTATTGATTCCAGAATATATTTTTTCTAAAATTATTGCATTTCCTATTTCATGCAAAGAAAGGACTCCTGGAAAAAGTTGAATTTGAGGTTTTCTGACATCATTCTTTCAGTAAAGGTTCTTTGATATGATTTTTATCACAATATGAACTGATATTATGCTGCAAATTACTGACAACTCATTATACTTTTATACTCTTTAATATTCAACTTAAGTTTTTCATTTAAAATAACAACTTTTGTCTTACCTTCTCATATGTTTCTTATTAATCACAGGTGGAGAGAGCCTATGATTACCTTGTTGGATATTGTAAATCAATGGAATGTAAGACAGAGTTTAACATCAGCTGTTCCGGTAATGGTAGAGGGATTTATATACGAGAGCCAATAGAATTACTAAAACCATCAATCATAGCAGTCTCAGTTGAACCAGTTCATTACGAGGGAATTACAGGTAAATAGTTATAAAAATTTTGTAAGATGTGCGACTGGTTTTGCTTTCATTGTCAGTTATCACTGTGTTTGACTTATAAAGAGGACTGTCTGACATAAAGACTGTTCGACTTTAACTAGCAAGTAAATTTCAACTTTACTCCATGTCAGAGAAAAAAGTTTTAAAAAGATTTAGTATGATCCTTAATAGTTGTTTTGATAAGGTTTCAGACTATTTATTACTTAATGTTTATAAAAACTTAAAAAATGTGTAACATTTTTATGGATATAAGTAAAAAAAAATTGATTATATATGAATGTTTTGATGAAAAAATAATAATTATAGAAGATATTTAAAATGGTAATTGGACATCTGAAATATCATTAAATTAAAGTTTATATAGCTGGTATGACCTAAAATAGAAACCTTAAAAATGTTTATGTGATTGAATTTAAAAACATTCATAAGTCCAATTAAACATCTAATCTAATCCATGTTGTATTGTTTTGTAGAGAAAGAAGAAAAGATCTCATTTTGTATGCATTTTAACCTCATCTGTGATGCTTCTTATGTGCAATGTCCTTCACATCTTGAGTTGTTTAACACAACTCGCTCTGTATCAATCAAAGTAGATCCTAGTGGCCTCCCAGAGGGTGTTCATTACACAGAGGTAATATATTGTTTCATGGTTTTGTATATTATAATATATGATGCTATCTAGCCAGCTTTTGGGAGGTAGATCGTTCTACACAAGTGCCTGCTTGTGCCTGAAAGAATGCACAAAGGAGGCACCCAAGGTCTTTCTCCAACTGTAAAGCTGGAAAATTGCCATATAACTTTTACTGTGGCGGTGTTACTCATAAAGTTTGTGGTTCTACTTTAGAGGTAAGGTTGTACCTAACAATAAAGCCTTCATCTACCTGTAAAGCTGGTTAGATGTCATATGACCTTTACAATGACTATGTCAATGTAACTTTGAATACAACCTAATACAATATTTATAAATTAATGATATTAGTTTCAAATTGTGTTCCTACCATTAAAAAAATAATCATACAGTATGTTATGGTAATTTTGAAAAATTAAGGAGTTGAACACCTCGAAAAGTAATCAGCAAGGTTTGATTTGAACTTGTTTTAGTCAATACAACATATTACTGAATAATCATAGAAAGTTGCTGCAGTTAAATCCTTTGTAGAAAACAAAAATAAATAGAAATTTGTATTTGAGTACAAGAATGTATTGCAAAAAAGAATGTTTTTTATTTGTGACCTTATTTCTGTAGCTGATCAAGAGAATGTTGTAAGTTATAATATATAAGATTTTATATTTTGAAGGTGTGTGCGTTTGATGTCACATGTGTTGAGAAAGGACCAGTATTCAGAATTCCTATAACCGTTGTTGTGCCGTCAAGGTCAGTGATAACAATTTTATCATGTCAAGGACACATGAGTTTGTAATATTTAAGATTTTGCCTAAAATACAGACAGTTTTAAACATTACAAGTATATAAAGTCAATACTTTTATGCTCCCACTTCTAAGTCTGTGGGGTGCCCCTTGTTATTATTGGCTTGAACTCCTAAATTGCAAATAAGTTATTATTGACTTAAACTCCCTAGAAATGGAAAATATTCAAATATGTGAATCATTATAATTACAGAGTATCAGATACTGTTAATTGTGAAGTACAGTATAAAGATATGAGTTTTCGACCGGGGCAGATTAGACGACATTTTTTACATGTACCGGCTGGAGCTAGTGTCGCAGGTATGTTTCATTGCGCTTATTAATTTCTGCCTCCTGATCTATCTTAGATAAATTCATTATGTCAAAATAGACATTGATTTCTGTTTGGTCAAGAAGATATATAGATGTGGCTGTATGTAACAAGTGCCCTAGTGGCCATATTTACTTGAATTAATGCATTGAGGATCTCTTTTTAGCAAATTAGGCATGAAAATTGTCATGTGACCATAAGAAAGCCTTACAAAATTGATAAATATCAAATTTAGTATACTGGTAACTTGATATTTGACTTGAAATTAATCAAATAAGTTAGTAAACCATTACATATCGAAACCAAAAATGATAAGCCTTTTCCACCAATGCAGAGTAAGTGCAAAGTGTTGAAATGCTATTCTTTTTGGGTCATTTTGCACAATAGAAATGATGATTCTGGATAAAACTGGATGATGGAATTCTCTGAAATTTTGACCACAAGGTATTGGTCCAGACCCTTAACAAATGGTACACAATTCTTGGAAATATATTTCCAGTCCCCTGTTATGAAAAATCTTCAGTGGACTCCATGCATTATTAATATACAAGAGGATTAAAAGTTTTGCTCTTTTACAAAATATGAGTCTTTTTCAATATTTTAATAACTCGTCACTGTCAACATATTTCAGTTCTACGGGTAAAGTCTAATGACACGGAGAAAAGCTGTAGAATGTTATTACATACAATACAGTTGGTTCCCCAGTGTCAGTATAAGAAATACGAGTTTGAAAAATTTGTCAACATATCTGATAGAGGGGAGACAACTCAAGCTTTCCCAGTTGTGGTAAGTGAGGTTGAAGAGTTACCATTCTTGTCATGAACATATTTAAGACTTCGGTTTAATTTTCGATCTGTCAGATTCTTTTAGATTAGTTAAATTTGTGTAGATTTCTTATTAAATATATTGAAACAGTAGAATAAAATCACATGAAACTTTCCAAGTGCTCTCTTATTCTCCATATATTGGATTTGTATTGAAAACATGCTAATATTTGACTCAGTGCTAGATAAACATACATATATTAGCTAATTTGTGATGAACTCTTAGAGCTTTATTTGAACAGGCTTTGTGTGCACTTCTTGAACAATATCAAATATTGAAACATGTCAATACATGTCAGTAAGACTCATACCTATTACTCATGGATTAAAGTAGTATTCATTCTAATTTTAATGAAAATTTTTGTAAATGTATTTAAAAGTAAAATATTGTGAAATGAAGAGTGATATTAATTAACACATTACGAACAATGCTTATAATCTACATTAATTACCAAAAACAGGTCAAAATACGAAAAAATAGCCCTTACTGTGTTAGTATTGCAAGAGAAATATGGTGATAAATACTGCAATATCAGTCATTAATTGCACCTAACATTTAAAGTGTTACTTAAATCTTGAACCCTTTTACTTTTCTTAAAATCTAAGTACAATTTTCTCAAGTTTTCTTGAAAGATTTTGACTTATCTGGATGCGTGCAGCTTTAAGAGTCAGGCACCTTAACCACGTGATCACCTCTGCCATGTTAAACCTGATAGATGTATGTTTAAAGTTTATTATTTGTTATTACAGGATGATAGAACTATAGAAGTGTGTATAGCCAAATGGTGGGCTAATATAGGTGATGTTAACCTAGATTATAGTGTAACATTTCATGGTGTTAAACCTTCATCTAGTCAAATCACTGTTGTAAGTCATTTTATAAACTTTTTTTTTTACTGTCAAACTGACATGAATTAGTTGCATATGTCAAAAAATTGAAAATTTATAATGGTGATTGAACAATAATTAATTGGTAATGACAAATATATTTATGTTAAAATATAAAAACTGTCTAAAATGTAAAAAGACTACTACTCTCTTTATTAATTGAGCTGGACCAATAATTTTCATAAGATATTTATAGATATTTATGTGGGTCACAGGGTTATTGTCTATTTTATTTGTTTACTTTTAAAAGTCTAGGTGGGACCTCAAAATCCTCAAATCTTTATATAATTTTATTGAATAATAAAATGTTCGAATATATGTCTTTAAATATACTTGAATTTATTGTTGTTTACTAGTTTCCTAAGTGTTACACTTTTTGTATTATGATGAATATATTTACAATGTACATGTATATATATATTACAGCATGGTGGTGATGGTGTGTGTAGGTTCGAACTCAGGTCTCATCTTAAAACAGAGGATGTAAGTCCTCAAGTATCCTTCAAGTCTCTGACCCAGCCTCTTAGACCAACAGAGAGTAAAATACGGTGTCTGACAGGTGCCAGGGACCTGCTTCCAGAGGGAAGACAAATATATGCACTGGAATTAACATATGGCTTCCATGTGGTATGTGTAACCTATTAACTCTATATACCTGTATATATGTACTTGTCAAATTTTCATCTGGATAAAACTGTTCATCATTTTTTTAGGAAATTTCAAAATATGTACAGAGTAAAATGCCAAAGTGCAGACCATGATCAGATGGCATGGATGTACAGGCTGATCTTGGTCTGCACTGGTCCCTTGGGTAAATTCAGTCATGATTTCATGTTGTGTTTTATGACCAACCTACCAATTTTATGTTCAGAAACAATGATTTCAACTTAATGTGATCATAATTTGAGTAAAAATGTTTTAAATTTTACTCATTCATTTTGCCTTTGGTGTTCTTTAAAATGAGTAGGGCTAACACACTTAGTACTGATAAAATATACATGTAGTTCATATTTAATTCATAATAGTAATTATATCAAATAAAAGAAATAATGTATGTTTTGAATGTATCTTTAGTACATTTATTTAAAGTTGTTTCTTCGACATGTTATGTACCACCTCCGGGGTCGAAGGGTCAGAGTCGATGACTTCTAATCCAGTTACCTCTCTGGTATGGGTTTGATCCCCGGGAGATGCTTTGGTAGTTTAGCGCGGAGGAAGGTAGTCTAGTACTGGTGTAACTCCAGGAACGATGGTTAGGAAACTACCCGCCTATATGACTGAAATACTGTTGGAAAAAGGTGTATAATGAAACAAACAAACAAAAATCGACATGTTATGATGTTATTTAAATTTCTTTTCTCAGAGTAAAACAACGGAGGTGACCCCTGACCTGTCATTACTGAGTGACCTGTTGTATGAGTCGGAGTACGAGAGTCAACTGTGGATGCTGTTTGATAACAACAAGCAATTGTTGGGCACTGGGGATGCCTACCCGCACCAGGTTAAAAAACATGTAATATATCAGTCCCATATCATCTTCAGAATGCATGCATGATGTTTTTATATATCACTGTGTTGTATTCTACTAAATCATAGAAATTTAAGGTAGTCTTACTGTAATGCTTTCCCGCCAAAGAAATTCTAACATCGGCCAATATTGTAATAAATCCGTAATTTCCGGAACGTTTTTTTTCACAATCTTTGGTATTCAATGATTTTTAACCGTTTATTACCGGATATTTAGTACATAGTGATGAGTGATAAATAATCTTATGCCCAAGATTTTGAAAAATAACGTTCCGTAAATATCCGTAACTGTATAATATTGGCCGATGTTAGATTTTTTACCTGCACTATTCCCATGAAAAAAAAAATTATATATACTTTGTTATAAATCTAATTTTGAATTATTTATACCTTGACTATTTGGAAAATATTTTGACTGTTCTACTCAACTAAACATTGACATAACTCTTGGTAAAGGTTATGATTTCTTGTCTCAGCTTGGATAGTAATCACTTTGAACTTCACACATACCTTTTCAATCTTATTTCTACTTCACTGTTTCAAGACCCGTAACTCTAGCATGGATAGTTGTAAACTTTGAAAACGCCTTGTTAAAGGTTTTGTATGCTAGATTTTTCTTTACAATTACTCAGATCTCTTTATGAATCTCCACACATGACAAGGGCCTCACTTACAATTTCGTAACTGTATGTCACTTACCAGGATGCATAACTCTAACACAAATTGTTACTGAATTGTTCCCCATATTGTGAATTTTAAAATTTCCTGGTATACATGTAGGTTTCCATCCAATTTCTGTCTTCGTAATAACTGGTGATATTTCTGTTGTTTCACATTTTTTATATGAACGTATCGATAATATGCACTTATAGTAATATGCACTTACAGTAATATGCACTTACAAGTTATAACTCAAAAGATTTGTTTTATTTGTCCTATGTTTTCCCTAGCAATGCTTACTGATTCTTTTTTCTATCACAAAACACAATGTACCTCGTTTTCATTTTTGGTTTTCACATATTTTTCACCTTCATAACATTATGTTGTATACTTGATAAGTTGAATACTTGAACACATAAAACTTTACATTTATGTCTTTTTGGAAGCAGAAAAAGTATATTAAATGATTACGCTTTGTCTCTTTATTATGACTTCAATTTTAAAGCAGCATGCCTCCAGATTCACACTAATTTTCATTAATATTTTGAAAATTTATTTGAATGTATAAAAACGTGAAATAACCAAAAGGAAGCAATATACACATTATCAATGACACTCCACGTGAATTACCAAAAAGGGGTCAAATTATGCACAAATAGCCCTTACTGCGTTAGTAACGCAGTAGAAATATAGTTGTAAATACTCAAAAGTCATTAACCGCACAAAACATGGAAAATATTACTTGAATATTGAATCATTTTACTTTTCCTAAAATTGTAGTACATATTTTATTGAAATATTTTGACTCATCTGAAGGCATGCAGCTTTAAGACTGAGTTTTAATATTAAGGCGCTATTCAGTTTCTCACAATTTTGCTTGTTCTAGGTCTTATTAAACATTAATATTAAAGCTTAAAACTTATAAGGTGTCTTTAATACTTGGTTTGACTGAATTCTTTGCCTTTACCAGCTCCAGACCTTCAACTCCAATTTCCCCCCCCCCCCTTAAAAAAAGAAGAAAAAGAAAAAACCCAAACAAATAACAATAACAAATGTTGAAATTACTACATTAAGGTGACAATATTGTCAGTCATACCTATGATCTAGCATAAGTCTTTTTTCAATACAATGTACTAATCTTTTCCTTCCAGCAAATATTTGCCACCATTGCCATAGTAATAAGTTTGCTTAAAAGACATTAGCTTGGAACATTAGTCGTCAAGTCCTAATATAAGAGCTCTTCAAATCTAATTATGATTATCAATAAGCATATAAATCACCTGTTGTCACATTTATATCATGTTATTCTCTGTTTGTTTTATTTACAGTACAATGTGAAGTTAGAGAAGGGAGATTATACTGTGTTAGTTCAGGTGAGACATGATAAGAAAGCCATGCTTGAAAAGCTGAAGTCTGTGATATTGTTGATACAACACAAACTGTCCAATTCTCTCAACTTTGACCTCTACGGTAGCTGGCAGGCTGCTCTCACGGGCGGTAAGAAAATGAATTCAACATCGCTAAAGAAGACAGATCTGTGCCCTGTGTTCACAGCACCAATACCTGATGATAAGTATGTTTGTTAATATTTATGCCCCCATTTTGAAAAAAAGGGGGTATATTGCTTTGCACTTGTCGGTCCGTCGGTCCGTCGGTCCGTAGACCAAATGGTTTCCGAGTGATAACTAAAGAACCCTTAGGCCTAGGAACTTCAAACTTGGTATGGTGATTGGTCATGACCAGTAGATGACCCCTATTGATTTTGGGGTCAAGGGGTCAAAGGTCAAGGTCACATTGACCTTGAAAGCAAAAACGGTTTCCGATCAATAACTAAAGAACCTTAAGGCCTAGGAACTTCAAACTTGGTATGGTGATTGGTCATGACCAGTAGATGACCCCTATTGATTTTGGGGTCAAGGGGTCAAAGGTCAAGGTCACATTGACCTTGAAAGCAAAAACGGTTTCCGATCAATAACTAAAGAACCTTAAGGCCTAGAAACTTCAAATTTTGGTAAATATACGTCACTGTGAAAACAACAACATAATCATGTACAATGTTTTATTTATAAACATTCAATAGGTACTTAACATATGCCATATTCTCCACATGTCATTCCACATCTGTATTATACTCATAGGCCTATCATTCAACCAATTAAACAGAGCACCTGAACAAGTCGAGAACAAATTAATACGTCACACTTATGTGTGACGTCATATGAATAGTTGTTGATCACGTGACTACTATTTTGGTAAATATACGTCACTGTGAAAACAACAACATAATCATGTACAATGTTTTATTTATAAACATTCAATAGGTACTTAACATATGCCATATGTAATGAGTAAAAACAGAAAAAAAAAATAGAAAAAAAAATATATAAAAAATTACAATAAAAATAAAATAAATGTATGTACTTATTTGTACAAATCATAGTAACCTACTATACTTTCATGTGCTAGCATTGAATAAAATGTCCTTAATCGTGAAATATAACATCGTCAGTGAAATTATCAGGCGTTCTTGCATGAACATAATGAGCGAAAAAAACCTCAGAATCCTTCCAACGACCAACTTTTCTTACTATTTCTGGATTAATACCCTTTTCAATGGCAGAAGTAGCACCAGTGGGGCGAAATGATTTTGCTGAAAAACCTTGACCACCAAGACCAGCTAACGTTATGGCTTCTTCTAGTACCTTAGCTATTGAACTAGCCACTAAAGCCTTATAAGGGGGTCTTAAAGTAAGGAAAATAGCATTGTCAGAAGACCTATAATTTTTTGTTCTCTCAATGTAATCCTGCAGGGTTTGAACAGGATCTAACTTTACAATACTGGCGCGAGGCAATACAATCTCAAAACCTGTACGTTTAGTATCATTCTTGATACCAAAAAATTGAATTTTGGCATCTTCATCAGAAAATGCAACTTGATCAACAGCAAAAACCACCTTCCTAACACCATCTGTGTCAACAGTCTGAGCATTAGGAGCTATATCAGATGGTCTTAACATAGCTGTCAAGGCAAGCAGAGTAATGGCTTTAAGTCTCAGGGCTTTAATATCTAATATATTGTTGTCCTCCCATTTCAAAAACAAATCATGAAAACTACTTGTAGGCATAACCTTAGACCTTTGCATGGGCCTGGAAGTACCTGACTTAACAAGAGCACAAATCAGCATCTTTATCTCATAACTATCAGCAATGTTTGGTAAACTTTGAACTTTATATATATGACCAATAGCAGCTGTAGCAGTACGTAATACTGAGTTAGGCCTTTGTGACTGACACCCTATCAAAAATAAAAAATCTGCAAGATCTTTGTTGGCTAACGGAGGAAAAGGGCAAGGTCTAGACAGGCAAAAATCATACAGTTTCTCTAATATGTGGTTATATGAACGAAGCGTACTTGGAGCAATACAAAACTGAAATCTATCAGAAACCTCTAATGACCAGCCCTTAAGTTCAAGTTTGTGCCTCCATATATCCTCCAAGCATACAGGGCCCATTTTCTATTGCGGCAGGTTCCGCTACTCCCATTGACCGACATACTCTCGGATTGTTTGGTAACCTCAATGGTGGGGAAATGGACATTTTGACTAGACGGTGAAACCAAGTCTGACCTAACCATTTTGGGGCTATCACAGTTGCATATGCTTTTTGTGTTTGAATAACATCTAACACTTTGTGAAGTAAGCAAAATGGGGCGTTTACAAAGTTGTTTTCTAAGTGCCACTTGACCTGAGAAAGAGCGTCCACTGCTTCGGACAATGGTTCCCAGTACCGACTGTTGAACCTCTCTAACTGACTGTTCTGACAATTTGCAAAGCGGTCGATGGTATGAGGACCCCAAAGTTTGTCTAGATATTTGAACAAATGCCGGTTTAACATCCAATTGTGTTTGTCGGGTGTCCTTGACCAATAATCCGACTCCCGATTGTTTACCCCTGATATATGTGCACACTTGACTGTGAGTCCAAGATCTATTGCTTCTGCCCATATTGCTATTGCTAAATTGGTAAGGGATGGACTTGGACCCCCCATGTGGTTTATATAAGCCACGGCTGATATATTGTCTGTTAAAATCTGAATACTCTTTCCCCGAATAAGGCTGGAAAAAGCTTTTAAAGCCATTAGTATAGCAAACATTTCTCTCTCGTTCGAAGACAGGTACGACATTCTTTTGTTCCAGTCGCCCGAAGCAACGTGACCTTTGTAAATAGCTCCCCAACCCAGATGGCTGGCATCCGTAACAATCTGACCTTGAACTACTTCTGTACATATTACTTTTTCATTCCAGTAATCAACAGATTCTAACCACCAATTAAGTTCTTGTAACACTTCAGGTGTAAGAGTAACCTGATTGGACCAACAACCCTTACACTTAGAAAGTAAAGGATATGCGTTCCTGAGAAAAAGCTTGCCAGGAGATACAACCCAAGATACAGATATGCACTGACCACAAATTTGCGCTAAAAACCTAAATGTAATACGCTTGAGGTGTAACGCTTTACGTATGCTACGCTTTAGTTTAGAGGTACGAACAGAAAGCGCCTGGACTCTTACATTTTCTACAGTGCTGTAAATAGAATACCCAATATATTTAATAGATCTAGAAGGATTAAGTTGTGATTTATCAAAATTGATAGTAAAACCCAACTCAGTCAATGTTTGTAATAACTGGTCAACGTGATCAGTAGCAGTTGACCTACTAAAAGCCAACAGAAAATCGTCAACAAACGCAGTAACACGTAATCCAATAGATCTAAGATAAACAATAACAGTGCGGATAACTTTGTTAAAATAATATGGACTTGCACATAAACCAAAAGGTAGAACTTTCCACCTGTAATATGAATTATCAAACCTAAAACCTAAAAAATCTCTACAGTTTACAGCAACAGGAATGTGAAAAAAGCCATCTTTTATATCAGTTGTGACAAAATAATCTCCAGGTTTAATCAAATTAACAGTATCTCTAATGTCTTCATTTCTGTATTTGGGCACAGTACAATAAGAGTTTAGTTTTCGCAAATCTGTGATGAGACGAAGATTGTTGTTCTTTTTTGGTACACAATGAATGGGATTAACACACGTTGGTTTTATATCACATTTTTCAATACAATCAGCGTCAATAAGCCGCGATATTTCGTGTCTAAGAAAAATGTACTCCTTCCGACTGTAAGATTTATTATTAAGTTCAAAACTAACACTTACTGGTGACGAAAAAGGTATTTCTATTCCATTGTTTATCCAGTTCAAAATGTAGGACGGTGCGTCGATATTTTTCCACGCGTCTAAATGATTCCGAAGCGTACTAATACACATTTAATGTTAAAGGGAAAAAACTCTTATATCGACTCCGAACCTTGCACGTTTGAGTTGTCCTCCCTTGGTTGCCTTCGATTAGGAAATTGCCTATTAGCAAAACTCTGGAAAACGTCACGATCCTGTCTATATGAAAACGAACCTCGTCCTCGGCCACGACCATAAAAATACGACTGTCCACGGCGTCCTCGCTCGTCGCCAGATCCAGATGAACGTCCAGCTGCAGCTAATGTTGCTGCTGATCGCAATGTTTCCAATGAAGTTTGGTCGAAACCCGAAGTATTTCTCTGAAGACTGCGGAATATTTTGGCAGTTGACGTGTCAAATTGACCATTAACAAGTAAGGCAGCAAACTCCTCTTGAAGATATTTAACCTGTGCGTGATGAATAAGAAATAAGTTATCCAAAGTTTCTTGATCTAAAGAACTGCCAGCTTCCAAAGTTCCCAACAGTTTTATGCCAGTTTCACAATACCGACCACATTTTACAATGACATTCAATAGAGGTTGATCACTTCTCTTAATACCTTGTCTACTGTCATTTAATCTCAGTTCTGCCGGAATTTTTACCTTACTCAAACTGTCCTTCAACGATTGGAACTCCGCCTGTAAGTCCGGCTGATTACTAGTAGCGCCCGTCGCTGAAGACAAAAATGGCGGATTACTAGCGCCCACGAGGCCTAAAGCTGGAGGAATGGAATCCTCAGAGCGTCGCTCTTGCGCGAATCTGGTCTCAGATAAACCTTTCTCAATGTTTCTAAGTCTATTATCAAATGAACTCATAAATTCATCAAACTTATTTTCAAGAGAATCAGACATAATCCGAACTTTTGTCCAAAGCACAAAAAATGCACGTCCTGACTGTGGAATGAACAAGTCGAGAACAAATTAATACGTCACACTTATGTGTGACGTCATATGAATAGTTGTTGATCACGTGACTACTACTTGGTATGGTGATTGGTCATGACCAGTAGATGACCCCTATTGATTTTGGGGTCAAGGGGTCAAAGGTTAAAGGTCACATTGACCTTGAAAGCAAAAACGGTTTCCGATCAATAACTAAAGAACCTTAAGGCCTAGGAACTTCAAACTTGGTATGGTGATTGGTCATGACCAGTAGATGACCCCTATTGATTTTGGAGTCAAGGGGTCAAAGGTCAAGGTCACATTGACCTTGAAAGCAAAAACGGTTTCCGATCAATAACTAAAGAACCTTAAGGCCTAGGAACTTCAAACTTGGTATGGTGATTAGTCATGACCAGTAGATGACCCCTATTGATTTTGGGGTCAAGGGGTCAAAGGTCAAGGTCACATTGACCTTAAAAGCAAAAACGGTTTCCGATCAATAACTAAAGAACCTTAAGGCCTAGGAACTTCAAACTTGGTATGGTGATTAGTCATGACCAGTAGATGACCCCTATTGATTTTGGGGTCAAGGGGTCAAAGGTCAAGGTCACATTGACCTTGTAGGTAAAAACGGTTTCCGATCAATACCTAAAGAACCTTAAGGCTTAGGAACATTAAACTTGGTATGGTGATTGGTCATGACCAGTAGATGACCCCTATTGATTTTGGGGTCAAGGGGTCAAAGGTCAAGGTCACATTGACCTTGTAGGTAAAAACGGTTTCCGATCAATAACTAAAGAACCTTAAGGCCTAGGAACTTCAAACTTGGTATGGTGATTGGTCATGATCAGTAGATGACCCGTATAGATTTTGGGGTCAAGGGGTCAAAGGTCAAGGTCACATTGACCTTTTAATTAAATATGGTTTCTGATCAATAACAAAAGAACCCTTAGGCCTAGGAACTTCAAACTTGGTATGGTGATTGGTTATGACCAATCAGATGACCCCTATTGATTTTGGCTTTAAGGGGACAAAGGTCAAGGTCACATTGACCTTGTAGGTAAAAACGGTTTCCGATCAATAATGAAAGAACCCTTAGGCCTAGGGACTTCAAACTTGAGATGGTGATTGGTCATGATCAGTAGATGACCCCTATTGATTTTGGGGTCTAGGGGTCAAAGGTCAAGGTCACATTGACCTTGTAGGTAAAAATGCTTTCGGATCAATAACTTAAGAACCCTTATGCCTAGGAACTTCAAACTTGGTATGGTGATTGGTCATGACCAGCAGATGACCTATTGATTTTGGGGTCAAGGGGTCAAAGGTCAAGGTCACATTGACCTTGTAGGTAAAAACGGTTTCCGATCAATTAACTAAAAACGCTTAGGCCTAGGAACTTCAAACTTTGTGTGATGATTGGTCATGATCAGCAGATGACCCCTATTGAGTTTTAGGTGAAGGTGTCAAAGGTCAAGGTCACATTGACCTTTTAAGCAAAAACGGTTTCTGATCAATAACTCAAGAACGCTTAGGCCTAGGAACTTCAAACTTGGTATGGTGATTTGTCATGACCAGCAGATTACTCCTATTGATTTTGGGATCAAGGGGTCAAAGGTCAAGGTCACAATAACCTTGTAAGTAAAAACGGTTTCTGATTAATAACTAAAGAACGCTTCGGCCTAGAAACTTCAAACTTGGCATGGTGATTGGTCATGACCAGCAGATGACCCCTATTGATTTTGGGGTCAAAGGTCAAGGTCACATTGACCTTTTAAGTAAAAACGGTTTCTGATCAATAACTAAAGAACGCTTAGGCCTAGGAACTTCAAACTTGGTATGGTGATTTGTCATGACCAGCAGATTACTCCTATTGATTTAGGGATCAAGGGGTCAAAGGTCAAGGTCACAATGACCTTGTAAGTAAAAACGGTTTCTGATCAATAACTAAAGAACGCTTCGGCCTAGAAACTTCAAACTTGGCATGGTGATTGGTCATGACCAGCAGATGACCCCTATTGATTTTGGGGTCAAAGGTCAAGGTCACATTGACCTTGTATGTTAAAACGGTTTCAGATCAATAATAAGAGAACCCTTAGGCCTAAGAACTTCAAACTTGGCATGGTGATTGGTCATGACCAGCAGATGACCCCTATTGATTTTGGGGTCAAGGGGTCAAAGGTCAAGGTCACATTGACCTTGTAGGTAAAAATGGTTTCTGATCAATTTACTAAAAACACCTAGGCCTAGGAACTTCAAACTTTGTATGATGATTGGTCGTGACCAGCAGATGACCCCTATTGAGTTTTGGGTCAAGGGGTCAAAGGTCAAGGTCATGACCAGTAGATACTTTATAACCCTTATTAATTGTTTGATCACTGGGTCAGACGTCATGCATAATAACCTTATCACATGACTAATTGGCTGCTGATAGGGGGCATACATGTTTTACAAACATATCTTGTTTGTTCTGTTTTGAATATTGTTTGATTGTTTTATCATGTTAAATATTATCCAAGGTCTCTTTGCCTCTCGGCCTGACTGCTTTTGCCTGTGACTGCTTTTGCCTGCTTAGTTCATAAGGGAAAGTATTAGATTTGTAATCCATGGGTAGCTCTGCTTGTTGGATCTTCAGTTAATTTCTTCATCACATTTATTTTGGACATTGAGTCATTTCTTATGTTCGCTTATCAATTTCCACCATAATTCAAGGTTACAGGAAATTGCATTTTCTTATTTATTAAGCAACACTTCAATTTTGAATATGATGATAATGTGAATTCATGATTATGAAAATAAAGAAAAATTCACTTTTATGACAAAAAATTGCAAAAAAAATTGACAATTCGACATTAAGTATTCTAGCATAAATAAAAGAATAAATCATACCCTTACAAAATATTCCTTTCCTATATTAAGTCGGTGTAGGAAATTATTTACCAAGTTCAATTTTATTTATTCTCATCTTAGCAGGCATATTTTGTATGTTGTTTTTTTCCCTGTATTTTAGAATACCATTGGTTAAAACAGCTACAGCTGGATGCTATCTCTCAGGAACTATAACTTTACTGAAAGAGGAACCAGCCAAGAAAGCTGTAAGTATATCAGCATGTCAATTAGTATTCTTCTTGTTACAAGTCTTAACAACACAGACAAAAACAATTTTAAATTCTATTAGTTCATTTTAGAATTTAAATCGCACATGTATCTAGAAAAATATAAGTTACCAAAAAGATGTCAAAATATGCAAAAATAGGACTGACTGCTTTAGTCACGCAGTAGAAATCTGTTGATAAATACAGCAAAATATGTTTTATCGCACATAACATGTAAATAAATACTTGAATTTATTTGAATGAATCTTTTTACTTTTCTTAAAATCTTAATTTGTACACTTTTCTTGAAATATTTAAGCACAAAGTCAAAACTATTGAAAGTTTAAATATCCACCTTTAACCTTTATCTGTTTCAGTTTGGTGTAAAACCATCAAAATACAATAAATTATGTTAAACCGTTGATAATATTGAATATATACATGTAAATATTTCAGAGTTCTCTACCATTCAAGTATGTAATAACTGAGTCGCTACAATGCAATAAATTATTTCTATTCATGAACAATATTGAATATATACATGTAAATATTTCAGAGTTCTCTACCATTCAAGTATGTAATAACGGAGTCGCCAAAGAAGAACAACAAGTCAAATGGTAAAGATAAGAATGATAAGAACAAGGATAAAACTAAGGAGGATGAATACAAGGAAGCTTTGAGAGATCTCAGAATTACATGGTTGTCCAAGTATGTGTGGAAATTGTACATTTATCATTTATTGTTTTTTTATGCTCAAACATACACAAACACAGGGTAGGTGGCATATAGATTGCACTTGCATGCCTCCCCTGTTGCCACTCTGCCCTTTGGACACATGTCTAGTTTCTACACCAATTATGTGTTTTATGGACACATTTCTAGTTTCTTCATTTTATGGACACATTTCTAGTTTCTTCATTTTATGGACCAATTCTAGTTTCTTTATCAAATCTGTGTTTAATGAAAACATTTCTTGTTTCTCTACAAAACTTACGTTTTACAAGTGGGGTAAAATTTTAATTTCAAACCTTTTTTGTCCTATTGACTAACACTTCTTAATTTGAGCCCTGCTTTGAATTTGGAAGTATCCATTATGGATTGGTGAAATTTTACTGTTGAAAAATTATAATTGAGTACTGTAGCCAACAGTAACGAGTCTGGTCAAACTATACAAATGTGCTAGCTGTTTTACTCTTTGTATAGATTGTAAAGACACAGTTTCTGTTGGCATTGTATTAAGAGTAATATCATGTAAAAATGATACTGAAAAAATACAATCTGCTTTATTAATAAGTGATGCCTGTACACACAAGTATAAATACTTAAATATTAGCACAAAGAAAAATGATTGTTGCATGTAATTTTGTATTTAAATTCAAACTTGCTGTATTTTTTTGTTTTTTTTTAGGACAAAAATAAGCGATCTAGGTTTTAAATTACAGCTTTTTTGAAGTCCTAAAAAATGAACTTATTTTTGATTTTTTTTTCATTAACAACTTCAAAAAAATTATTATAGGGTTTGTACCAAGACATTATAATCAAAGAAATGAATGGAAAAAAGTGAGTTATTGTATATGGTTTATTTTGTTTTCTAGATTGGAGATAAGTCATCCATTGTTCGAGGAGCTAAGATCAGAGTATGAGGATCATCTTCCACTATATATAGCCAGACTTCAGGCTCTAGACTCTGAAAAGGTTTGTTGGGATTTTTTACCTATTCAAATAAATCATATATTGTTGCTCAGTGATTCAAGTTAAATTTATGACAGCCAAATATAGGAAAAATAATACAAATTTTATTTCTGTTCGTTGTATTGGATTTTGTGTTTAGTCTAGTAAATAATAATAATATAGAAAATATGTTAATGTATATAGACCGAGTACAGTTTTAAGCTTGACTTTTTGAGGAAATATAGGGCTGTCCTACTGAATCGGGTATTGGCCTAAGTTTAACACTTTGGTTAAGTTTTAACTTCTTGTACAACATCCTATCTTATGAAACACTGAAGATATTTGCTTCATATTTGATACTACTTTTACAGGGAGACTATTATTATAGGGGGTCTCTGTCGAAGGCCCATACCTGTAGCTTTGATTTTGACACATTTATGGCCCCTTGTTATCTTAGAATGTTAGAGTTTTATGTTTTACATGCAACATCAATCTTCAAAACTATTGAAGTTGTTCCTAATAGGAGCTCACTTTCCAAGGCCTATAACTCTGGCTTGGCTTTTGTTTCACTATCAAGCACTGATAATAGCCGAGCATGCTGTCCTACTGACAATAAATACATGTATGATAAAATATGAACATATATATTCCTGTAATATTTATGTACACTATTTAATATAGGACAGAGAGAAGTGTGTTGGAGAGATGATTGACCTAAGCAGATATATACTATCTAAGATAGATCAAAACAGCGTCCTAGCTTACTTTGGTATGAAGACAGACAACAGTACAGAGGCAAGCACTATTAAAAGGTGTGTACAAATATTGTATAACATATGAAAATGTACTTTAACATGGTACTGCAGAATGTTTTGAATGGATTTTGTTAATTGCTCTAATTATTTTTATTTTTATTCTTGTTAACTTGAGCAATTGGTATTAAATTGACTATTCTAAGAATGATGGGGTTATATTTGGTATTGTCTCACAGTGGTGTATTTGGATATTAACAGAATTTCTTGGTTACCACTGCAGATATCCACTTAAAATTTCACATGTACTTAAGAACAAAATTGTAACTGATCTAACTGTATCATTTGTTTTTGCTGATAGCTTGATATAGAAAGGATCATGTTAATCATGGTTATTGAATAATATCTTTAAAAATTTAAGGGGAAAAAATCTCAAATAATTCTTTTGTGCCACATAAAATAGAATTTACTCTAAATATACAATGCAAGTTTATTTGCTTGCAGTTTTCAGTTTCACTTTTGCTTGTGATTGTTCATTTATCATGTTTATAGTAACTATTTGAAGATGTTTGTAATTTGCAACCCTTGACCTGCCGGAACCAAAAATGATTAGTCTTTGCCACCAGAACAGAACCAGGCCACCTTGCTCTCCCATTCTTGTCTTGATGTGTCCAAAATTGATACTGAAGTATTCCAAATTGGAAACTGGACAAGTCCATAGCAGGTTAAGGGTTAAAGGTTTTTAAAGGTACAAATGTAGTAAATTGAAACTATTTATATTTCAGTGAGAAAGAGGAGAAGAAATCTCAGGTGATAACAGCATTGTTGAAACTAGGTACGGCACAAGCTGATGTTATACTAAATGACTGGAACACTGAGTCATGTACTGTAACTGATGATGATCTAGATAAAACTATGATAGAGGTTGCTAAATGGACCGATGTTAATGATTCTAAGGTATTTACAGATTTATTTGTTTGTTTGTTGGTTTATTTTGGGTTTTTTTTTCGAGGATTTAACTAAATCAGTGGTACCAACTCATTTTAGGCCTACTTACTATAGTGTTTGGTGTGTATGACCAGTAATGTGTCAATGTCATTGTTAAACCAAACCAAACAACTCAAATTTGACATTTGGATATATGATGTGAATATGCAGGTCAAGATCAAATTTGGTTGTTGTTCAATGATTTTTTGAAAAGATTATGCCTTTTTGACTTTGAAAAAAAGAAGAAATTTTCTGTTTCAGCACTCTAACTTTTGTAGGAAAATGTATCTCTAAGGTTGAAATCTGCATGTGCAGGTAATTTACCACAAAATACAAATCAAGTTCAAATTTTAATGTTTAAATTTTGGCTGCATGCAGGGGCATTTGTGGCGTTATGACACATTTCTAGTTTCTACCTGGAGCCCAGTCTGTTAAACTTGCTAAATAGAAGAACATTGCCGACCACAATCTGTTGTGCATACTGGAGACAATTGTCTGTGTATATAGGTAAAAACTACCATAAGTCAGGTATAACTAGGTTTTCAACAGAATTGATAATGGACAGTTTCAAAAATGGAAGATTGGCAAGTCCATTTTAGAAATTCAGCAGGTTATAGTATAATACATATATTTTTATTTTGCTTAAAATATTTCAGGTTTTACCCTTAAGTATAAAACATGCCATGGTCCATAGACAGTATGGTAGAGCATTGAAACTCTCTCTGAAACAAATAGAGGACAAACCTAACAAAGATGCCGAGCAGAAAATACTTGAGGTGAGCTATAATTGTTGATGAGAGATTTAAGTTTGGCCTATTTTGAACTTCTTTTTTTAACATGGTCAACATTTCTGATAAATCAAGGATTTATGTGTGATATTATTAGTTTTCTGAGCTTTAGTACAGATTCATTTTGTTGACTTTTTGAAAAAGTTCATATTTTAAAAGTTGATTAATACCTATACATTTGTTCTATATGATTGTATTTGTTTTGTTTCATCATTCTTTTTCAATTTTTCAGTTGTATGGGAAATTGGGCTGGGAACACTGTGCTAGACATTTCGCCAACTGGATTCTAGTTAAATACCCTCAGAGTTACAGACCTTTCTAGATCATGGTGGTGCGGACAAAATTCAAATCTAAATCTATGGGACTTCCATACTTGGATTTTTTTTTAAACTTTGTTTTTGCAATGGCATTTTACCAAGACACTGAGTGAAAATCCGTACCGTTTGTATGACTTGGAATTGTAAAGGAACTTTTATTTTGTTATATGCATGTTCTGAAAAAAAGTTTGCTTGCCCTCTTCTCTAATTTAATGTGTGCTATTAGATTTTTTTAAAACTTGGCCTTAATAACTTGTGCCAAAAACGATATTGCCTGCTCAAAGGTCATGGTCACAATGAACATACGATGCTTTTATACATGTATAAATAAAGATCACAAAATCAAGTATGGGTTTTCTTGATGCGGGTTATTTGTGTCCTGTGGATACGTTTCTTATTTATGTATGTAAAATGATATAAGCTACATAGTGTATGAAGAGAAATTAATTAGTAGGTGTGTCACGTTTATCCATTTAAGCGGGTACAGTCAGTTTGTAGCTGAAATCCGGTTAGAAAATTCAATAACAAATAACTGAGGTTAGTTTTTACAAAGAGGCGAAACAGTTTTAAATTGATTCTAAGTATTACTAACAAGACAGCTTGTTTGTATTTTAGTTTTACTCTAAAAAAAATTTTCCCGAACTGATCGAGTATGGTACGACCCTAACGGAAAATAATTATTATATATCGAATATGTATTATAATCATTTTGAGTACAACAAAATACGAACAAAATATCGTATTTTGTTAAAAGAAACAAAGTTAATGTTAAAAATCTAAAGGTTGTTTAAATGTTTTAACTAGGTTGCCGTTTAAACGGTTAGCATTTCTTTTAACCGTGACACCCCTATTAATTAGTTTGAAAAATATAGATTGTAAAATCTTGAAAGTTGATTTTTCTATTTTAATTTTATTGCTTATCATTTGGTTTTAGGGACCAGTGCCTTTTTTGATAATTTCTTTCAAATTGCATAGCTCCTGCCGATGTTCTTTATTTGCTGTCACAAAATTTTTGTTTTGTTATTTGTTCATGAAATTTGTTAAATATGAAATTATTTTTTGGAAAATAGCAATACGCTGGACACACTTGTTCAGGACCATAGAATTATCTTCTAGTGCAAGTTCTGTAACTCTTGCTTGCATTTATTTTTCAAAATTTTGCCTTTTGTTAACTTGGTCACCATTGAAAAAATTTAATATGTAAGCTGATTTAGCAGAAAATATTTATAATATCTGATGCTTTAGAATTTCACAGTTATTAGATACATTGTGTATACCTAAATGGACAATTGGTCATACGCTTTCGAACAAAGTTATTGTGTAATAGTAATAAATGGCCTTTACACGAGTTTTTCTTTATGTATGTTAAAAGATATTTATCAAACTGGCTCAGCAGTTACTTCCCCTGATCTGTACAGAAACCAGGTTGTAATAATAATGCAAGTATTAAAATGGCCGCCATTTCTTGGTCACATGATATACCAGTACCTATTATCATATGAGGTTTAGTGATGACAGCGGTGTGATGTAACAGGTGCTTAGGTTGAAAAGTGTTTATGTGTAACAATGGGCTAAGAAATAGACAATTGTATAAATCATTAAGTGCACTGCTGTTAAATCTTGTTGTGATTTTTGGTTGCTCCAGATTTTAATGAATATTATATATAGCAGAGATATTAATGAAATTATCTATATAGAAAAAAATAACATGTAAATATTGTAATTGCTTACAGTAAATGTTACATATTTATCACATTCTCTCTTTTATAACAAATCCTATTTATGAAATAAATTACAAATTTTTTTTGTACGAGTTTGTTCATTTTATTTCTTTTGTTTATTTTGGGTTTCAAAGCACACCGACTCTGTCAAGGTCATAACGGTGACTGCAGCTTTTTGTGGAGTTAAAAGACCTCGGGGTGCAGCTCAATTCATTATTTCAGACATAAGCGGAAACATAAGTTTATCATAAGTAGAACCACCAATATTCTGTAGGCTAGTTCACTTTATTTAAGTTTGTGTACAAAAGACAGATACTACTTGGAGAATAAGTGAGACAAATAAATAACTCAAATCATTTAAAAGTAAAAGTTCTTGACCATTTCAAACTTAACATTGGCATTAAATTTTGTTTGTGACAAGGAATTGCTCAAGCTATTGTTTTCGTATCTGGCATAATATGCAGAACAGAGCAGGTCCAAGTTACATTATCATTGTTAAGGGCCATGTGTTGAGCTTTAAACTGTATTAGTTGAGAATCTTTTGAAGGAACTATTCCATCTATTACTACTGTTAGGGAGGCATAACAATCCAAATTTTGTTCAGTTTGGAGATACAAATTTCTATGAACCACAGAAAGTTAGCAATTACAAATAGAGAAACTGGACAAGACTGGTATAAAGTAAATGCCAACTGTTGTATTACTGAAATTATAGAAATACTGCTAGTGTAGATTAAAACTACCGTAGAACCAAAGCTATCCAAATGTCACCAGTACTTTCAAGCATTTCAAATATGCTACAAATTTCTTTAAAGAATTTTCTTTTAACAAAATGTCACCAGTACTTGCCAACCTGGGAGCAATTCAAATATGCTACTAACTTTCTTCAAACAAGAGGGCCATGATGGCCCTAAGGTCGCTCACCTGTATGTAGGCCCCCGGAGCGGGGCCAGTTTAAACCCCAGGGCTTTTATTTGAACAAACTTGGAAGACACCTATAAGAAGACGTTTCATGATGTACACACTTATAATGAAAAACAATGATCTGCCATCCCCTACCCCCGGCAGGGCCAATTTTAACCAAGGGCTTTTATTTGAACAAACTTGGTAGACACCCATAAGAAGATGTTTCATGCTAAACATCTAAGCTGTAGCTCATTGTGTTTTTTTAAAGAAGATTTTTTAACTTTTTACTATACACATATAGTTAAAAACAATGACACCCCTGGGGCGGGGCCAGTTTTGACCCCAGGGCTTTTATTTGAACAAACTTTGTAGATACTTACTAGAACATGTTTCATGCTTAATATCTAAACTCTAGCTATTTGGGTTTTTTCAAAGATGTTTTTAAAGTTTTTCCTATACACATATAAGAAAAATCAATGACCCCCAGGGCAGGGCCAATTTTGACCCCAGGGCTTTTATTTGAACAAACTTTGTAGACACTCACTAGAAGATGTTTCATGCTTAATATCTTAACTCTAGCTATTTAGGTTTTTTCAAAGAATACTTTTTAAGTTTTTGATATACACATATATAAGGAAAATCAATGACCCCCGGGCCGGGGCCAATTTTCACCCCAGGGCTCTTATTTGAACAAACTTGGTAGACACCCATTAGAACATGTTTCATGCTAAATATCTTAGCTCTAGCTCTTTGAGTTCTTTAAAAGAAGATTTTTTAAGTTTTTACTATATACATGTACATATAGGGAAAATCAATGACCCCCTGTGGCGGGGCCAATTTTGACCCCAAGGCTTTTATTTGAACAAACTTGGTAGACACCCATTAGAACATGTTTCATGCTAAATATCTTAGCTCTTTGAGTTCTTTAAAAAAAGATTTTTTTAAGTTTTTACTATATACATATAGGGAAAATCAATGACCCCCTGGGGCGGGGCCAATTTTGACCCCAGGGCTTTTATTTGAACAAACTTGGTAGACATCCATTAGAACATGCTTCATGCTAAATATCTTCGCTCTAGCTCTTTTGGTTCTTTAAAAGAAAATTTTTTAAGTTTTTACTATATACATATAGGGAAAATCAATGACCCCCTGGGGCGGGGCCAATTTTGACCCCAGGGCTTTTATTTGAACAAACTTGGTAGACATCCATTAGAACATGTTTCATGCTAAATATCTTAGCTCTAGCTCTTTTGGTTCTTTAAAAGAAGATTTTTTAAGTTTTTACTATATACATATAGGGAAACTCAATGACCCCCTGGGGCGGGGCAATTTTGACCCCAGGACTTTTATTTGAACAAACTTGGTAGACACTCATTAGAAGATGTTTCATGCTAAATATCTTAGCTCTAGCTCTTTGGGTTCTTTAAAAAAGATATTTTAAGTTTTTACTATATGCATATAGAGAAAATCAATGACCCCCTGGGGCGGGGCCAATTTTGACCCCAGGGCTTTTATTTGAACAAACTTGGTAGACACCCATTAAAACATGTTTCATGCTAAATATCTTAGCTCTAGCTCTTTGAGTTCTTTAAAAGAAGATTTTTTAAGTTTTTACTATATACATATAGGGAAAATCAATGACCCCCTAGGGCGGGGCCAATTTTGACCCCAGGGCTTTTATTTGAACAATCTTGGTAGACACTCACTAGAAGATGTTTCATGCCAAATATCTAAGCTCTAGCTCTTTCGGTTTTTTAAAAGAAGATATTTAAAGTTTTTTCTTTTGGTTGCCATGGCAACCAGAGTTCTGCATGGAATTAAATTCTTTGAACAATTTTTAAAGGTGACCACCAAAGGAACATTCCTGTGAAGTTTGGATGAAATTGGCTTAGTGGTTTATGAGGAGATGTCATTTAAAGTAAAAGTTTACGGACGGACGGACGGACGGACGACGGACGGACGCCGGACGAAAAGCGATCACAAAAGCTCACCCTGTCACTTTGTGACAGGTGAGCTAAAAAGCACATTAAAAAAAAAACTATTCTTTTAACAAAACTAAGACAGCCAAATTAGCAAATACCTATGTGATACCATTGTAGCACATCGAGTGAAGCAAAACTAAGAATAAATTGAGGATTTCTGAGACCTTTATTATCATCATGCATGTCAAAATTCGGTACACAAGATTTGTTCCACTGATATGTACAATGGATGTCATATTACATGTGTAAAGTAAAGAACAATATAACATATAATAGTTTGGACCCTGATCACAAAAAACCCACTGTCTTCAAATTTGCATTAAATCTATTAATTCTATACTTGTTACTCAATTAGTCAATATAGTCATCTTCTAAAATTATAACAATTTTGAAAGTTACATAGGTCCGCAAGGCAAAAATATTATTTAAAAGTGAAATGAAATTATAAGAAATAAAGATTTGGTACTTGATTCTTTTTCTTCTTCTTAGGATAAACATTCTGCATTGGATAAAACACAAAGCAAATGAAAAATATGTACAATATGTACAAAGTGAACACGTGTTATGTGTACACATTTTCCTTTAAGCTCCAATTTGCAATGCAAAAAAAATAAATTTATCCACATGAAATTGAAGAAAGAAATAACAGATTATTATTTAAGTCTTCACAAATTACTACTTAAGCATTCTTCACACATCATTCCAGTTATTTTGGTTTCTTCAGTGATCAATTATGCATAAAATTCAAAAACAGGAAAATATATATTATCATGTGACCTGGGTCCAAACAATGAAACATATAGTAAAACATGGTCAAAGCAAAAGCACATTTACTGGTTTTGTTGGCTTTTGTATCAACACTGGATGATTGAGAAATATGAATTGAAAAAAAAAAACATATCTGATTTTTCTCAATAAAATAAACAAAACTTCCACAGTTTACATGACACAAAAGAAAAACTTACATACAGGTAAATGTATATATAATATATATCATTACAATAGATTAACTGAGAATAAAGTAAAATACCAAACTACTTATAATTTGTATACATTTTGTACTTTATTTTATACTACCTGGTGTGTTCACACTTAAGTAAGTAATGTGCGTTCCTTCTTGACAAAGAGTCATATACAGTATCTCAAATATGTGTATTTCGTACTAAAAGAACAAGACAGTGTACCAAATAACTTAATAAGAAAAAAAAATCATTATAAAACAAAAACTGTTAAGTAGAATTCCTTAATGTTAAAATACTTTGGTGTTGTGTGTTTGGTTGTAATTAAGTAACTAAATATGTAATACTTGTAAATACAAAATGTAAGTTTTGAACTTTCAATGATGACTATGGGGATGGCACTCATTATTGTCACCTTAGTGCAGTAACGGCTTAAGTCCTTCTAAATTAAATAGAAGTTAACCAGATATTGCACTAAGGTGATGTTATCAATTATGACAAAAATCGTGTAAATTAAAAGCATAAAACAAAATCATAGGCAGAGATTCTTGTCAAAACAATAAAGGCAAGAGATTTCTTTAAAAAAAATCTTATCTTATCTAAACTTAACATAAAAATAGTTCTTATTTCAAAATCATATTAAAGCAACCTGCAAAAAACAAGGAAAAATGCCTAAATGTGGAATTACTACATGTGGCAAAAAATATGTATTTCAATCACCAAATTACTTACTTTATAAAAGCAATGATTTTTTTCTTATCTCTGAATACATGACACAACTTTTTACAGACTTGAATACAAAATACATTTCAATATGTTATTATAATACATTTCTTTAAGACATAAAGCTACATGTAACTTATAAAATAATAAAACTGAAAACTAAAACCGTGCCTAAAACTGACTAGGTTAATATAAAAAGCACATACAAATAAAAAAACCTTTTCTTTATGTGCCAGCACCTTTAATAAATATAAAAAAACATGTACATGACATTTGGTTTCCATACAAGCATCACAATATCAACAAATGGTGGTTTTATAAGAAATCCCATCAACATACATACAAGTGAATCGGGAATTAGAAAATAAAAATAAAAAAAACTACCTTCATGTTTAATATCCAATTATACAAGCTTACCATAATATTCCACAATAAAAATACATATCTGTGACAACTGAAACATCTTAAAAAGGCAAATATACACAAATGCATGTCAGTGTTACCCTGCAAACACTT